GCCTGAAGTTCTCATTGACCCCACTCTTCGGTTCAAGGACAAGCCCTAAGGCTCCATGTACCCATAGAGTATATACTTAGGCCGTAAAGTACCTATATAGGGACCCCTTTAAGGCCTAAGTATCTACTATAAAGGTACATGGAACCTTTGGGAAGGATGTTGGGGGGGTACCCTCCAATGCGTGCTCGGTTCAAACTGGGCCCGAATTGCGAGCTTCCGCGCTCACCGCGGGTTTAAAGCTCCTGTTGATGAGAGCGCCGCATCATCATCTAGGGTTTTGGGTTTAGGGTTTAGGGTTAGGGTTTAGGGTTCAGGGTTACGACTGTCTACCCAAATAGGCTCCATAGTAGTTCCTTTTGGGGGGCTCTTGTTTAGAAACCCTATCAGGTAATCCCAAAAAGGAACCACTATGGAGCCTTAGGGTACTGTGTCTGCGTAAAGAACTGCCTTGCATCGAAGTCTCTTGCTGTACTCCCTAAGGCTCCATGTACTTTATGGTATATACTTAGGCCTTAAAGTACCTATATAGGGACCCCTTTAAGGCTTAAGTATCTACTACAAAGGTGCAAGGAGCCTTTGGGACTGTTGTTCTGCAGGGAACAAGGCGAGCAAGTAAAGACTCACATGGGTTTAGGGTTTAGGGTTTAGGGTTTAGGGTTTGATGTGATGACACTGGCTTAGCTCTACGGTGGGCAAGAACTCTCTAAAACCTACACCCTCGCATCTATGGTTTGGAGTGATCCCTTGTCAGAGCGGAGTGAGGTAAGCCATAAAGCACGACGACACTTCGGCGCTTGCATCGGGAGACGAGACCCAAAGGGCCCATGTACTCTTACAGTATATGCTTTGGCTCTAAGGGTTTAGGGTTTGGCGGTTTAGGGCTGAGGGAGGGTTTAGGGCTTATAGGGTTTAGGGCTTAGGGCCGTGGATGGTTTAGGATGCTTTAGGGTGTGCTCTAGAGTACCTAGGGGGCACTTTGATGCCTTAGTATATACTGCATCGGCACATGGACCCATAGGGAGCTGCGAGATGTGAGAACCGGCTGACGGCTCCGCACACATCTAACCTGGGTCTGATTTACCCAAAGGGTCCTAGGTGCCGTTATGGGGGATACTTCTCCAAATCATACTAGCAATTTTTTAATATAGAAACCCGACATTATACTATAAAGGTACTTTGGACCCTTTGGGTTAGAAGTAAGTTTGAACACCATTTCGCAGAATAGTTACACCAGATCAGGGCTTTTCGGTTTGGGGCTTTGCTACGGGTTTAGAGTTTGAGGCTTTGGGTTTTTGGTTTCGAGGTCTACCTTAACCCCAAAATACCTACCTTTTTCGAAGGACTTATCTAAAGAAGTCATAATATGGAACTCAAAATAAATAGTTTTTCCCAGGGTCAAGCTCCAGGTAGCGTTCAAATGAACCCTGGAAGGAGCCCTTAAAAAGGGAACCCGTAAAGAAACCCTGAAAGCAGCCCTCAACGGAGCCCTTATGGTGCAGTGTCGGGTTCGGGGTCAAGTTCAGACCAGCTGCTAAGCCCTTCTTCTACTGATGGGTAGTTCTCTAAATTAGGCCCCCCTTTTTTGGGCTCCTTGAAGGGACCCATAAGGGTCTCCGTAGGGTTTCTATCAGGGTTCTATATGTGTAGCTCTCTAAATTAGGCTCCCTTTGAAGCCCCTTTTTAAGAATAAAGGAAACGTACCACTTTGGGGGCCTAACACTTGGACCCTAAGTTACAAAGCTACCTATATAGCCCCGGGAACCGGCGGAGTCGGTATGCGCGTGAATCTGCCGCCCTGAGCAACTATTTTCCGGCGCTCCACTCGTGCAGGCTTCGGGATTTCGTCATCGAGTTGGGCTTAGAGATGCTCGGGGATGTAAGGGGTTAGGAGCAGGAATCACCAGGAATGAGCACGGACAAGGGGAAGGATTTAGCCATGGAGAACTCCAGAATAGGTTGAGCTTTTTAGTTTTCAGTGGTTATGATTTTGCCCTAAACCCTGAACGATTTCGATTTCGTCTGGAAGCCCTGAGTCAGCCAAGCAGGGCGCTAGATTTAATTGAAGGCATACCAGTCCTCATGGTCCTAACTTGTGGGTATTTAGGCTCTTAAGATGTATGGGCTAGTTGCGGTTTGGCTGTCAAACACAAAACTCTACAGTCCAGTAGTCTTACGATTTCCTTTTCTCGGTCCTTAAATTGGTAGGGTTTTGGGGTGTTCAGATATTGCCAGCCTGCCTGTAATAGCCTTCGGGGCTTTGAGGGTTTATGCTTCACGGTGTGAGTCCTTGACGATGACAACCCTAAACCATCCTCCTTTGATAGAGCCCTTATGGCCCCTAACAGTGGGTGTTTGGGGTATATTAGAAGTTAGTTTGGGGGCGGTCTACGTACATACCCTTTACACTACATGATACCTCGACCCGGAAGTGTGCCCGACCTAGCTGAGATCGTTGATAAACGCGAGCACAGCATCTCAATCTCCATTCAAACTGTGTTTGAGGGCATGATGAAGGGGGCGGAAACACTAGTAGCACTACTTACGGCTCCTTACCCGAACTACAGTAGAAAATACACCAGAATGCTCGTCTAGTTGTTAAGGCCCCTGAGGTTGAGGCTTATGCCTTTAGTGTTCAGGGTTTGCGGCTGCTTCTGGTGAAGCCTGAACCACAAAAACCCTAGGTGCATAACCTTGACTTTAAGCCCCAAATCTTGAACAACTTTATATAAACCCTAGCCGTAGCCTAGTGGTGATTTCACACGGCCTGCTGCAGCGCTTTCGCAGAAACCACGCAATGAGAGGCCTTCACGTCACCCCGGAAGCGTGGCCAACTCCCGGAAAGAGTAACCTTTTGCGCTTTAAGGGTTAAGGGCTTGCCCTATGCTTCCAAGGACCCTTGTAATAAAGGCCCTAGACCCCTTAAGGACCCCATAGTAAGGTCCCTTCAGGCTTAAGGGCTTGCTAAGTTAGACCCCTTAAGGACCCAATAATAAGGTCCCTTCAGGCTTAAGGGCTTGCTAAGTACGACGATCATGTGATGAGGGCTTAATTGGTTCGCCTTCTCTGTAGCACTAGTCTACACAGGTCGGTCAAGCGTCGTCCTGTCCCAAGAAATTCCAGACGCATTTCTGTGCCGTGCCCTCCACATCGCAAGAGCGTGAAGTCCTCAAGCCACCTAAAGCCCTAGACCCACATTCTTCCGTTCGCCGATACCATTCCCTGGGCACATAAACTTTGATGTCCAGGCCCGGAACCTAAATCCTCAAGCCTGCATGCCATAATTCTACACGCCTCAACTCCCCAAACCCAAGCACTGCATCAAACTGAGTAGGCCTCGAAATGATTAGCTGCATCGGGCGCGAGCCACGCAGTCTCCGGAGGTCCTTGCAAAGACAGCAGCTGGGTGTACAGTTCCTGCTTCGAATCCTTCCGCGCATGGACAAAGGACCCTCACCCTGTTTCCCAACCCCAACCCTCATGCAAACCCTAAACCTCTGTTTCTCAATCAGACCCTGCGCCCTCTTTTCAATCTAAGACCTGTCCATCAAAATATCACTGGGTTTGCGGTTCAGGATTCTGGCATCACAGCTGGAGACAAGAGGCTAAAAGCTATTGGGATCAGGCGGCTTTAAGAAGGATAACTGGGGCTTATGCTCCTTTCGAGTTGAGTAATATCTGGACATCAGGACTAACATTTGGGTGGTTGTCAAAATTAGGGTCCTTTTTGGGTACCCTAAATATTAGGTGCCGTATTATAATAGGGACCCAAAAAAGGGACCATATTTTTGACAACCACCCATTTGCAGGTGCATCTCTTCCACCGAAGCTGCAGGAACTGGTTGAATCGACAAATGTAGGATTACCAGAGCGACAAAACCAAAGGGTCCCAGGTGCTGTTATGGGGGGATACTTCCCCAAATCATAATAATAGAACTTCCAAGTATAGAAACCCTACATTCTACTATAAAGGTACTTTGGACCCTTTTGGAAAAAGCTTCTTCAGGCCTGTTGAGCCTTAGCCTTAGTCAATCAAGCTGATGGAGGCTCGCAGGGGCTCAAGTTCGGCTTGTCGGGGCTTATTACGCTTGCAGGCTCTAAGGCCCTCATGTTTTAAGGCTTTTGGGCTCAAAGACCATACTATATCGAGCTCTTGGGCTATTTTGAGCCTTAGGCTCAGGGTTAAAGCGGGGCTTAATCTGGCCTTGACCAATTGGCGCTTGTCCGGTTTTGTGCAATCTCCTTAGGCCTCTCAAACTGTAAAGAACAATCTAACCCACCTTCTGCGGTCACACCGCAAGAGCTTGGTTCTTGCTGAGATGGTTTGTGTGGGTAGGGGGCATCCGAACATCACCCTGTGAATATCGGAAACACATCAAATGATGAAGGACCTTCTAAGTTTCAACGAAACTTAGAACCGCTTCGCCCTGGAGTCCATAATTGATACACATTTTACCGACATCTGCCCGACCTCATTCGCGTAGCAACCAAAGGAACTGGTCCTTAAACTGCGCGGCTGCGAGCGCCGCCAACGCCATGCATCCGGACGTACCATGAAGCAGACCTGGAACGACTCGCCTGAAACGGACGTTCCGGACAGGGCTAAGCGGACCATGAGCATTCATTGCCTGGCAGGTTGCAGCTTTGAGTTGGACGTCAGCTCTGCAGAGCTGGTGTGGGAAGTAGCAGAGCGCATCGCCGCCAGAGTTGGCCACCCTGCAGGTTTACTTGTGCTGACATCCGGTGGTTGTGTTATGGATCAGTGCCAGCTGCTTCTGCGTCAAGTCCATCACGACGAGATCTGGTACGTGGTGCGGAAGCTTGGCGCAGGTCGTGTCGGGATGCTTTGGGAACGCCTACTCGAGGAAAATACTCTGTCTGATGTAGTTGCCCTGAACGAAACACTGTCACTCACATGGGATTCCAGCCAAGAGCTCAACCAGGGTATCCAACTACCCAGCAGCCTGCAGAGTTTGACGTTTGGCGATGACTTCAACCAGAGCATGGAGGGTATCCAAATACCCAGCAGCCTGCAGAGTCTGACGTTTGGCTTCGAGTTCAACCAGAGCTTGTATGGCATTCAACTACCCAGCAGCCTGCAGAGTCTGACGTTTGGCGGAGAGTTCAACCAGAGCTTGTATGGCATCCAACTTCCCAGCAGTCTGCAGAGTTTGACGTTTGGCGATGACTTCAACCAGAGCTTGGAGGGCATCCAACTACCCAGCAGCCTGCAGAGTCTGATGTTTGGAATCGAGTTCAACCAGAGCTTGTATGGCATCCAACTACCCAGCGGACTGCAGAACTTGACGTTCGGTGAGCACTTCAACCAGAGCTTGGAGGGCATCCAACTACCCAGCAGCCTGCAGAGTCTGAGGTTTGGCGGGAAGTTCAACCAGAGCTTGAAGGGCATCCAACTACCCGGCAGCCTGCAGAGTCTGGCCTTTGGCTGGGAGTTCAACCAGAGCTTGAAGGGCACCCAGCTACCAAGCAGCCTGCAGAGTCTGACGTTTGGCGGAGAGTTCAACCAGAGCTTGTATGGCATCCAACTACCCAGCGGATTGCAGAACTTGACGTTCGGTCACCGCTTCAACCAGAGCTTGGAGGGCATCCAACTACTCGGCAGTCTGCAGAGTTTGACGTTTGGCACCAAGTTCAACCAGAGCTTGTATGGCATCCAACTTCCCAGCAGTCTGCAGAGCTTGACGTTTGGCGCAGAGTTCAACCAGAGCTTGGAGGGCATCCAACTACTCAGCGGACTGCAGAACTTGACGTTTGGCGCAGAGTTCAACCAGAGCTTGGAGGGCATCCAACTACCCAGCAGTCTGCAGAGTCTGACGTTTGGCGCAGCGTTGAACCAGAGCTTGGAGGGCATCCAACTACCCAGCAGTCTGCAGAGTTTGACGTTTGGCACCAAATTCAACCAGAGCTTGAAGGGCATCCAACTACCCGGCAGCCTGCAGAGTCTGAGGTTTGCCTGGAAGTTCAACCAGAGCATGGAGGGCATCCAACTACCCAGCAGCCTGCAGAGTCTGACGTTTGGCGGAGAGTTCAACCAGAGCTTGTATGGCATCCAACTACCCAGCGGACTGCAGAACTTGACGTTCGGTGAGCACTTCAACCAGAGCATGGAGGGCATCCAACTACCCAGCAGCCTGCAGAGTCTGACGTTTGGCTTCGAGTTCAACCAGAGCTTGTATGGCATCCAACTACCCAGTGGATTGCAGAACTTGACGTTCGTTCGGTCACCGCTTCAACCACAGCTTGGAGGGCATCCAACTACTCAGCAGTCTGCAGAGTTTGACGTTTGGCAGCAAGTTCAACCAGAGCTTGAAGGGCACCCAGCTACCAAGCAGCCTGCAGAGTCTGGCCTTTGGCTGGGAGTTCAACCAGAGCTTGGAGGGCATCCAACTACCTAGCAGCCTGCAGAGTCTGACGTTTGGCGCAGAGTTCAATCAGAGCTTGTATGGCATCCACCTACCCAGCGGACTGCAGAACTTGACGTTCGGTCACCGCTTCAACCAGAGCTTGGAGGGCATCCAACTACCCGGCAGTCTGCGAAGTTTCACTTCAGCAAATTTTTGCGTTACCACGTGGTGAGAAGTGATGTGCTGGTGTGGCGTCCTCTTGAAGGGCGACCGGGTCGAATGTTGCAGCTTTTTCTTTGGACCCTGAACCCAGCCTGACACTTCCAGAAGAGATTGAACAAGAAGAAAACCCAATTCCGCATGCCCGCAGAAACCTGCCCAGTGATATTATATCTGCTGTTAGCATGAGGGCTGATTTGGACACACGCTTCGTTTATGGGGCATGCTTCCATAAGCGGGCACTGGACCTGTGCAGCGGAGTGACCCTAAACCCCGAAAGCTTTGGAGAACCCAAATGAAACCCGTGTGTACAGGGACACTTAACGACTAGACTCTTACTGAAGAACCCCCCCAAAAAGATCCCTTAAAGGAGTGTTATAAGGAAATTACGGAACCGACCGAAAAACCCTAATAGAGCAAAGTCCTCACGCTCAAAGCTTAGCGGCCTTGAACTCCATGATTCGAGCTTTGGCATTTAAGGTATAGGGTTGTTTCCTGCCAATCTTTGGACGCTGCAACTGCAATTTGGCCACTGACCGTTTCGAGAACACATTAGGGCTGCGGGAAGCGCGAGATCAACTTTGAGGACTACATGGTGGTACCGGTGAAGGCAGAGGTGGTAGTGGTATCATCAGCAACAGCAGCAGCCACAGCCGCAGCAGCAGTGGCAGCAAGAGGAGAAGGACGAAGTGGTAGCAGCATAGTTGTAGTAGTAGTCGTCGTCGTTGATGTCGTCGTCGTAGCAGTAGCAGCAAAAGTAGCAGCATGCAAAAGTAGCCGTAGCAGTAGTCCTGTCAGTACTGGTAGTATTGAAAGAGAAGTTGCTGCTGGTCAAACATTGCTGGTTGTTGTTGATGCCTCTCAACCGTAACCTTCTAAGTTATAACTTTTGGGTATGTTGTCAAACGGGTACTCTGAGTTTTCTATTTGGGCCGAGTGGGTACCTAGAGGGTCAAACCCGACCCCTTTTTAGGATACCTAGTTTTATGGTTAGGATCTGTTATATAGAAAGTTAGGTACCTTAAAACCCAAAACCCTAAACCCTAAACCCAAAACCCTAAACCCTAAACCCTATGAGCCTCTAGGTAGTGTTGTAATTTCAAGGCCTCCCTCGCAGAGTTTCCATCGGCGGTGGAGGCAGGGCTGGGGCACCTTATTGGGATTTAGAGGGTTCCTTAAAGGGATCTATGGGGTTTAGGGTTTAGGGTCTACTTGGAGGGGCAGGGGACTGAGTGAGTAGGTTGTAAGTAGGGTTAGAATTGGGGTAACTCCATTTAGGGTACGTATAACTCTACCTATAACCATATACTTACTAAGTCCCCTGCCCGCCCAAGTAGACATGGTCAGGCTTACCGCTACAAGCACATTATATCATGTGGTGAGTATAGTGCAGTATACTCACGGCGAGTTTCCCTCCCGAGCTGTGCAATATGCCCACGACCCTGTAGCTTCGAAATTCTGTGAGTCGTTGAAGGCACTTTTCGCCCAACGAGAGCTGGAGAAAACTGGCCGCTGCGAGGCGACGACAGGTGTCAGATAGTGCGCAATGGTGCAAGGCACCTAGATAAGCTATCAGGATGGTTGTGTTCGATCATAGGGACCCTTAGGGGGGTAAGGCGGAGGGGGGTAGGGTACTATACTTTTCTTAAATGGGCCTTATTAGGTCCTTATCATGGGCATTAAGCTACTAATTACATGTCGCGACCGATTTGTTGGAAAGCCCCTTATGAAGTTGAGGCCTTCACATCTGGTGCTGTTTCGGCCCTTGATTGTTGAAAGCTCAAGAAGACCCGCGACACTCGAATGCACAGCCGCCATGATGAGTACATACTACTATTCCTTAGGTTTCCTTCGAGTAAGTATAGTGTAAAGTCCTTAAACTTGGTTCCAATTGTCAATAGTCTCCTGTATTCGTGGCTGAGGCCTTGAAGGTGTCTCACGCTAGATACTCATGCTTTTGAAGATTGCCACCGTGCGTATATCGATCATGTGAAAAAGCTTTCTTTGCAACCCCCATCTAGTCCACGAGCCCTAAACCGTAAACCCCAAATCCTACCCCCCGAAAATACAAACCCTAAGCTTCCAAGGACCTTATAACTAGGGCCTAGACCACTTAAGGACCCAATAATAAGGTCCCCGGAAGCCTAGGGTAATTAAGACTAAACCCCCAGATTCTTGGATGTGGCGGTTTAGCCCTGAAGGCTCGGTCTGAAGTGAGTCTGCAGGGTAATTATCCGAACATAGCCTTCGAACTCCAACCCCCCCCCCCCAACACAAAGAGAAAAACAAATAAAAACTTAAAATCCCTTAACCCTAAACCCTGTGTAAACCCTAAACCTTATCAGCCCTCTGCTATAGACTTCCGGCCCCAAGCTAGAACCCAGACCTTCCAAAATCCCTTAATTAAGGAATATACCTTAAATTATAACAGGGTCCCTACAATGATTTAAGGTATATTCCTTAATTAAGGGATTTTGGAAGGTCTGGGAAGCTCGGCATATGCCAGGTGCGCTTGTTCGATTCGCGCTGCCGGCCGATTGCCCTGGCTGTACGGCGCTCAACCGTTGACGGGGTCCCAGAGAGCCCAATACCCCCCAATTAAGGAATATAGGGTTCCTTTAAAGGGATCCTTATAAGGGGATCTATAAGGGATCTTAAACCCAGACAGCCCAATACCCCTTAAAAAAAGGAGTATGGCTTATAACACAAAAATATGAAGCCCTATATAGTTTAAGCCATATTCCTTAATTAAGGGGTATTGGGCTCTCTGGGGTCGGCTCGTGGGGCTTTCCTTAGTAAGGGTTCTTAAAGGGCTCCTTATTGGGATTTAGAGGGTTCCTTAAAGGGATCTATGGGGTTTAGGGTTTAGGGTCTACTTGGAGGGGCAGGGGACTTGGTGAGTAGGTTGTAAGTAGGGTTTCAAGTGGGGTAACTCCATTTAGGGTACTTATAACTCTACTTATAGCCTACTTACTAAGTCCCCTGCCCCTCCAAGAAGGGTTTAATTCGGGTTCAGGGTTTAGGATAGTCGTGGTTTGAGGTTTCGGGGGTTAGGGTTCGGGGTTTAGCGCTTTCGGGCAGTGTTGGGCGGCTGATGTGTGGCCGCCCAGCCTTTAGACCCAATAGCCTGAAGTTCGTCCGTGGCCTAAACCCTAAACCTTCACCAGAAATCTGAACTGTAGACCTTTGCAAACCCAAAGCCATAAATCATAAACCGTCAACGATACCATCTACTTTGTCGGTCCAGGATCGAGTGATATCGGATGCAAACCGAGGTTTCAGGTTCGGCATTCCTGGTGGGTGAGTGCCTGTGAGAGTTTTGGGTTAGGCTTTGAAGATTCAATTCGAGCCTCAGGGTTTTTTCGGAATTTGATAGCACAATCGTGCGGGGTAACGATTTTGTTGGTAGTTGAGACATGTCTTAGCATTCAGCGTATGGTCGCTAAGGTCCGGTGGCAAGCCTTGCAGGCATTTGCGAGCACAGGCTGACTGAGCAGCCACTGAACCGCCAAGCAAATCCAATCTGCTTATGGCAAGTTGGCAACGGAAGTTCAGTCGCTCTACATACTTGTCTACAGGTGGATGCAAGTTGCTACTGCCCGGGGAATCAGGGGACCCTGGTACGAGCCAACCCGTACAGGCTTTCACCGGAGTTCAGGACCCCCCCCCCCCCACAAAGGGACACGGAATTTAAAGAATCACTGAGAAACGAAGAAGCCATAGAAGCCCCTAAATCCTAAAAACCCCAAACCCCTAAACCCTCAACCCCGAACCGTAAACCCTAAAAGATTCCCTTGTAAAAAGTTCAGGTCGACGAGTTCATCCCATGCCATCCGCGGGAATGGTGGGATGTCGGCTGGCAGACGAAAGTTGGGGTTAGCGTTACTTAAAGGATCATGAGACTTAGTTATTATTTTTATGATTAGGGTAACTAGACTTATAAGTACGTATAACCCCAATAAAGGTACTTATAACCATACATACGAAGTCCCATGATCCTCCAAGTAGAGCAACTCCATCCAGTTTTCGAGGACCCTTATCTATGAAGGCCCCTACGTTACATCATTTGGATTTTCCCCATCGAGGTTCTATTATCCACAAAAAGCATCTGTGCTGGGCCATTTGATTTGTCAACGTAAAGTTTTGTAACCGCATAGAGCCTGTAGCAGCTTGAAACTACACTTCCACCTTAAACCCTAGCCACGGTCGAAAAAGGGTCTTGAGCTTGGGCAGAGGGCCTTCCAGGTAAGCAGTTTTACGGCACTACTCTTCAGGCATGACTAGGTGCTTCTTCACAATTAGGGCCGCCTTATGTGTGATGCGTATTGTCAGCCTTCTCCTATCATCTACTATTTCAAGGGTCTATATCGGGGTGCAGCTGCTTCCTGAGCTTCCTACTGCCACAAAGCCATGGTAGACGTCGCACTAATTAATGGAATGCTTCAAAACGGTGCTACTAAAGGCAATTTTACGATCACAATACATCAGCACCTTATAGCACGACGTTTTATTCACAGTCGTAACACAAGTATTTCAAGCTCCAGGTCCCAAACACAGTTGCACTGACTGCAAGCCCTCAGCCCTGGGTCCTACGCCGCCTAAACCCTAAGTCCCTCTCAGACAGACCCTAACCCTAGAACCTAAGCCCTATAGCCACAGACCCTACCTTGAGGGGCAGGGGACTTAGTAAGTCGTTTATAAGTAGGGTTATAATTGGGGTATCGCCATCTAGGATACTTTTAACTCTTCTTGTAACCTACTTACTAAGTCCCCTGCCCCTCCAAGTAGCCCCTAAACCCTAAACCCCATAGATCCCTTTAAGGAACCCCATAGATCCCTGTAAAGAGCACCCTATGCCCCAAATTCGGACATCGCCAAGGATGAAGGCACGCCGCTCTTTGCCCGGCCGAATGGGAACGAAGCCTGGGCCGAGGACTCAGGTGTCCCAAACCTGGGGCACTAAAAGGTGTCCTACGGTTGATGATCTAGGTTGTTTTAAAGGGATCCATAAGG